TCTTTGCCTGTGTAAGTAGTTGTTTGTAGTTAGCTTGTGTCAACTTGTAATTAGTTACTGGCAGTTTGATTCAACATCTTGTATCAATCTGAAAGGATATGAAAGGAAAAAGGAAAGAAAATAGGTCAAAGGGAGGGGGTTCTTTACGCTGTTTAAAAATTATACCAAAAACAAAGGTTCATATTTAACATGGCTGTTCTGGCAAAGTGAGGTTTCTTGGCATAAATCTGGTTGCTTGGATTGACTTTTCTGTGGATTATTGTAACTGAAGTGCTCCAACTGTAGAGTGTCCTAGATCAGAATTTCTCAACCTCAGCTACTTTAAGATATGTGGCTTTCACCTCCCACAATTCCTCAGGCACTGTGGAGGAAGGGGCTAAAATCTGAGGTCGAGTTTCATTTGTAGCTGATTTATCCATGCAAATCAAGCAGTGTGGAAAAGTCTCTAGTTGCCCAGGTGTCTTTCTGAATAAGCCAGTTTAAAGCTGCATTAGATAACACCAAGTTGGGATGGCAGGCAAACCTGCATGTTTTTTCCCCTTGAATGTTCTTAAAAGAAAGCTAAAGAAGCCAGTTTCCATATAAACTGTCATCCTTCTACCAGGTCTTGACCTTTTGTGTTTTAAACAGCTCTTTTTTATTTGCCAGAAACACAATAAAAACAGTATTCCCAAACTGATCTCTCTAAAAGTATTCCTTCCCTCAAGACTAATGCTGTTTATCAGCAGTATATTTCATTTTCATACAGAGACTGGCAAAACGATAGTACAGATGTCCAATTTTCCACTGAGACATTGCCAATCCCACGGAACTGAGTTTGATGTCTAGGTCAAGACTAATCTTGGTCTCATGCCAAGGGTTCCGGAAACCTAAGTCCATTGGCCAGCATTCTGCTAGATTTTCATGAAGAGGCCCAACCTGACAGACTTCCAGCAAAAAGATAGACGGTCACCAAAGAAGTACCAGCCCAACCGGAAAATCTCATAATGTTCTGGAAAAGTCTCCAGAACAAGCAAGAGAGAGGAGACACCTCCACCCAATAGCCTCATTTGTATGCAGCTGCTGATGGTAACCAACAAACACCAACCAGTCTGGAAAACAAAAATTGTTCCAGACCGTTGAGCTCAATCTTAACATGTTCCAAAAACAGATGCCCAAATCTCCTTCTGACCAGTCCTAATTATTCTCTCTGGAGTTTTAGATGCACCTTCCTCAGCATGATAACCACTTAGGACGTTAGCGCTGTGAAACTCAAAATTTCCAGCCAGTATGGGGGACATGTTAGATGGGGTTTCTGGGAAGTGGAAAGCAGCAGGTTGAGTGTATGAGTGAATTTGTTCAGAATGAGATGCATTAATGGATTCAGCAAACTGTTTTAGTATGTTCCAGTTTGCAAGTTTAGTGATGAAGCAAAAAAAATGTATTGTACTAAATACCTTATATAAATAGATGTGTTCCAAATTAAATAAAAAAGCAAAGATACAAAATATTTTTGAATGAATTCAGCCATTAGACTGAATTTTAGTTTCATGTTTCAAGCAGAGAAATGACTGAGGCAAAGCAGAAGGAAAAGGCATTCAGAATGCTTTAAACCTTTATAGATTATTATAATGAGTTCTTGGTCGGTTAGTATCTTCATGTAATTTTTTTAACTATGAAAGAGTTCTGCTGTTGCTATCCTCTGGAGTGTTTTGGATGGTCCTCCATTCAAGTACTAGCCAAGTTTGACACTGAGGAGCTTCCAAGCTTGAAGCGGGCCAGGGGCTGCTATCATTCATTCCTCTCACTTATGTGAGACACTGAAACTTCTCAGCATTACAGCTCCCTCTGCCGATAAAAGCGAAACACTACAGCTTTCAAAAAACAAAAAAGCTAGTGGAAAGTGGGCTCGTGAGCTTTGGGGGTGGGAGGTTTTAAGAGGCAAAGTCTTTATCTACAAACTATATAAAAAAGATAACAAAAAAAACCCCAATCTAGTTTATGACGACTGGTATTCAAATGAGTAATCAGGTTCAAATGGTGAGAGTGGTGAGGATGGCTGAAAAGATCATTGGCAGTTCCCTCCCTTCCATCCAGGACATAGCACATAAGCATTGCTTGAGCAGGGTCCGCAAGATTGTCTGGGACACTACACATCCTCTTCACGACCTGCTTTCCTTGTTAGCTTCTGGGAGGAGGGGGCTTCGTGGTATCCAAAGCAGAACATCCAGATTCAGTCACAGTTTTGTTCCATACAGTATTAACCTTGTGAACTCTCAAGCTTCCTCCTTTTGTTATGTATTCAAGATGGACAGCGATTAATATTTATATGTTACTTATACGTAAGGGTGTAGGTCTATACATATGTTGTATATAGTATGTTTAAATGTGTGTTATGTATGTGTACACTTTGAGAGCAAGCAACTAAATTTCATTTTTAATGTGTGCGGTTGTGCCCACAGTAAAAAATGACAATAAAGCTTATCTAATCCAGGGCTTTTCAACCAGTGGTACGGGTACCACCTGTGGTACATTGGCACCTGGCAGGTGGTATGCGACATCCTAGAAAAGTGGTAACGGGGGAGGGGAATGAGCTGAACCGGTGGCAGCACCGCACAAGCCTGAGCGAAAGATGGCTGGAGCTGCAGGGCTGTCAGGGCTCAGTGGAAGCGCCAGGATCAACGCCAGAATCTAGCCGGAAAGCAGCACCGATCCTGGCACTTCTGCTGAGCCCGGAAGAAGCGCCAATCAGCTGGAATGTTGCAGCATCTCCAGGGTTTTGTGATTTACATTCAGATGCTTGGCAACTGATTCATATTTATGACGGTCAGTGTCCCAGGGTCATGTGAAGTGACCAAAACCTGCTGCAATCACCCAGCAGACGGGGGGAATAAAAACCAAACACCCCCACCCCACCCCCACTGCCAATCCTCAACAGAAATGCTCACAACAATGAAAACCTCGGATAGGAGGTAGAGTACTGCCGGGCGGGCAGACAGGTGTCTTGCTCGGCTGTGGCTTGGGGGGCACTTTTTTCAGTGCCATTGTAACTTCGAACAGTCACTAAGCGAACTGTTGTAAGTCAAGGACTACCTGTACTTTATCACTTTTTTCCTTTTTTTTTTGGTCATCAAGTTTTTGACACCTTGCTAGGTGACTGGTAGTACTCGGATATTGCCATATCCTAAAAGTGGTACAATGGGTGAAAAAGTTGAAAAGCCCTGATCTAATTTAATCAAATCTCTATAAGGTCAAGGCATTTAATTCATCCCAGCCTCATGCATTTTGGGACACTGTGGGTTCCACCACAACTGGGCCACTCTTAAAAGTTCAGATGAAGTCTATTTTTGTGCAGATTTGTGACTTTCAAGAAGCAATCCCAGCAGAGAATTGTTCTTTTCTTTCTTCTGTGAGACAACCCTTGGAAGACCTGAGTAGCTGCAGCTACATTAAATAAGTTTTCACTCTCATGTTGCAACATTTCTGATCTGACAAAAGACCAAACTCTTATCTCAGCCAAGCCACCTGAGTGTCCAAATCTTTAAACTGATTATGCAGATCTCAGCTATAGATTCTGAATGAAATGTATTTCTTTAAAGGTTTTCCTTGTCCAGTAGTCGTGTCTGACTATAGGGGCGGTGCTCATCTTCATTTCTTAGCCAAGGAAGCCAGGGTTGTCTGAAGACATTTCCGCAGTCATGTGGCCAGCATGACTATGCACCGAGGGGCATGGAACGCTGTTATCTTCCCACCAAGTGGTACCTATTTATCTACTTGCATTTGCATGCTTTCGTGGGCAGGAGCTGGGGCAAGTAACTGGAGCTCATCCCGTTACATGGCACATGGCGTCTTGAACCCGGGGTGTCAGCTTTCCAGCTGACAAGCTCAGTGTCTTTAACCACTGAGCCATCACACCCCTTTTTATTTCTTTACTTCCAGCCAAATATAAATGCAAATAAATCAAAATCAATCATTCACAATCTAATATAAACAAACTTACTATCACATTGCATGCAAGTATTTACCCAAATTAGTTCACAAAACAAGCGGAAAATGTTTAGTTGTAAATTAAAAGAATCAGAATAAGATTCCCCAGAGACAAATCTATGCTTAATCTAAATAAATATTTAACTGATGTCTACTGCTAGCTACTTTTCTGAGAACAGGTATGTAGGACTACTGCAGGAAGCAAAACAAATGTGCTTTATAGGCGTGAGATTGTTAGCTGGATGGATGCAACAAAAAGCTACCCGACACTTCCTTTGATCAAAATGAATTCATTAAATTTAACCAGTTAAATTGTATGTTTTTTGCTTATACAACATAACAAGTCACATGACAGCAGCTGCAACTTAAGAAATAATCAACAGATTTTTTTTAAAAAAATATATACTCAAGGTTTGCCATGGGATTTTAGTCCAATTGCAAAAATTCAAAACTTTAACCTTAAATCTAAATTTTAAGATTATTTATTTTTTAAATTTAACTTATTCCTTGAGATTACTAATTAGGGTGTTTTTCTAACTTCATTGATGATAAGGGGAAAAAATACAGAGTTGAGACCTGGGAAAGAATGATTATCTAAAGTCCAATGACTATTACTATAATTTTGGGTTTATTCTAATTTTTCATAACTGTTATTTTATGCATCAAAGTCACCAAGCATCAATAATGATTGTAACTGAATAAAATACTGAATAAAAGATACCTAAATGTAGTCTCATTTATCCCAATTCACTATCTTAAAATTACCTCCTCTAATACCTCTGTGAAAGGTTAGTACCAAACAGACCTTACAATGATCAAGCCTCTGTCTTATGACTTAAAAGATGGGGAAAGAGGAAAACAGAGAATGTAGCAGACATTTTAAAAAACTATTTAATGGGAATAGTACTAATATTATAATAGCACAAATTTCTGCCAATGCATGCAGAGAAACATTGCAGATCATAACTTGTCCATGTGCCTCACAAATGTAAGAGGAATTCAAATTATGTAAGATAAAAAAACATAGACAGTGATAGGTTTAAATAGTTTATGTGTCAGTTAGAACAAGATTCAGGTGAAGACAAAAGACAGCTATGCACAGATGATTGAATCCTTCAGAAGAACAAAATCACTGAACTTGGGAAACTGTCTGGATGACTTTCAGTCAGAAAATAACAGCAGTCTCAGCAATGAACATTTATGTAAAGATAGCAACAGCTCAACAATTTAGTTGCAAGATATAATCCAAAACCAGCAACATAATACATTAAAAACAAAAAAATGCACATGTGCTCTAATTGGTTAAAGGTGTTCTATTATTCAGAAGAATCTTTTGAGTCATCTCTTTAAAATTCTTTGTTGCAGAAAGTTGATATTTCCTGAAATTTAAAGTTATCTTTAATAGAAATGATTTATACTGAATGTTTAGAAATTATTTGGGGTCATTTCCCTCACTTTGTTGATCCTCTCACTTTCCCGAAGTCAATGAGAACAAGGAAGGAAGCCCTTGTTCCAAAGCAAAGAGAAAGGAAAGGGTCCCAGACTGCACTGAAATCCTGAGCATGCTAGTCTCCAGAATCATAGTAGTCATTTTACAAGCATGTCACAGTGTCCATACAATGAATACAGTAAAAGATTATCACTCTTAGAAGGCCCAAATGGTTAGAAGCCACTTTTTAAATATACTGAACTTCCTGGAGGGAGATAGAAGCTATAAACTAGGTCTCATTTTCCAAAAATAGTATTAAACAGTCAGACCATTTGAGACAATACCACAAATTGGGGCATAATGATATGTTAGGAACTATAGCCAACTATTTAGCTTGGCTTCTACTTATATATAAACATTTTTAATCTATCTAGGCTAATACTAATCCAGTGAGATTATACTATTTGCAACTCTTTAAAAATGAATGATTTTATGAGAGAATGAGAACAGCATATTGAGCCAAATTTTGTGTAAAGTCTCAGAAGGAAATGAACTACAGTATATTTGCAATGGGAGTTTGCCAAGCTATTACTGAAAATGTAATATTCAGCAATTTCAAATTGCTGAAGATCAGTGACATTCTGTGAAATCAATGACTAGATACATGTTTTTGTTTCTTTGTGAAAAAAATTAATACTCTTTGTTCTGAATAATTTGTAGTATGACAAAGTTGCCGATAAAAGTATTATATTTAGTGTATGCAGTATTACCCTTCTAATAAATTAGCTTATCTTCTGGGGATTGTTTTTTACTATAAACCCATTGACTAGTGTGTATCTTTCTTTAACTAGATGCTGAAACCTGATCTGCAGACCCAATACATCTTTGAAGTAAAGTCCAAGGTCCAATGTTGCATAACTAGATTTCTATTAGCACTATTTTCTCTTCCTACATGCTCAGAAACTCTGCTTCAGAGAGTTGGAGAAACCATCGTAGCAGATTTCAGGAAGGTATGGAACCCTACAAAAGCATACAGATCCAAATTTCAGTGGGGTTTTTTTATTTATTTATTTTGGGGGTTTCCTAGTGAGCATTTGTAAACTTCTAATGTGACAAAATTTCAATGCTGAAATTTGAACTACTTTGAAGGCATTTTCTAGGATTATTTAAGAACTTAAAAATTTTTGCATCAGGGACAGCAACGGGAATTTGAGCCTTTGGAGAAATCAAGGCCAGCCTTTAACTTTTTCTGCATGTTCAGTGATAACACGGCAGAAAACAAGTGAATACAGTAAAAGATGGTGACTTAGCAAACCTATTTTTCCCCCTCCAACATCCTGTCAGAAACTCTCTAGTTTAGAGATTATAGACTCTAGAGATTGTAGCTACTACCCTAACCCTAAACCATATTTTTTTTTATACTGAGGCAATTGTTCAGATAAAGAAATTCACCTTATATCTTTCCCTATTAGGTTAAGCAAACAGTTTTCGTTATCTAGGGATCCTGACTTCATATGCAATACTTACACATTTCAGAAGATGCCCCGGTAACACCATTAGACAGAAAACTGACAAAATCCCCAAGCAAGAAAAATGTGGGTAATGCCAAAGCAAGGTGCAATATTGAGAAAGCAGCTTACCACCTTTTGTTGGTTTTGTTTTGTTGGTTTTTTAGTTTTCATTTTGTATGGGAGAAAAAGGTTGATGTTCACTGCAAAGAGATATTATATGTTGCTGGTCAGAAGAGAACCAAAGAAGTAGACCTTTTGAATGCCTTCTTGAATGGAGAATCAACAGTGGAAGCTTTCCTGGCTCCTCTACTATACCCATGCAAACTCTGGGCAGGCAAAAAAAAAAAGCCCACATAAAGCTCTGCATCAGGATTACAAGGAACCCAAACATAACAAAAGCAGCCCAAAAGTGCATACTTCTTTCTTTGAAAGATGGCACTGGGTTTTGCAGGGTGCTACAAATGCAAGGAAAGGCTGACTGCTAGGTGAAAGATGCTTTTAGATTCTAGCCAAGTATAAGCATGGAAAGAAAGCTGTTCTGAATTCAGATTTCTAAGGGATGAGAGGTATCAAATTGTAATTGGTGCAAACAGGTACCCAAACAACTAAATAAACTAAAAAAAAAATCAAACTCCAAACACTGTGAGATAAAAATATTTCTCAGCTCAATGATGCATATTGAAAAGATAATGGCAAAACTTCCCAGTTCTGCTCCCCAGGAAAATTTAAGGCAGAAACTGATTTTCTGGCTCAAAGCCTCTTGAGTGTAGCCTTCTCCTCAACCTATCCTGGAAATATAGTCACCCCAAAATCCAGCCTCTCTAGGAAGTAAGACACCCTAGTAGCTCTGGAGTCACAACGGATGGTTTCAGAACTTTAACAGGAATGATCTGTCCAGGAAAATGAACAGATACTTGCTGCTCACAATAAAACAATTTCATTTGCTTATTTTTGGCATCCAGAGCAAAAGGCTAAGATGTCAAAATTCATCTTCATCTTCCACAAGGAGGGTGCTAGATTTACATGAAGTCATCAGAGTCATTGCCATCCTGTAAAAGGAAAGACAAACAAAAATTATTCAGAAGGGATATTTTTATGACTTTAATATTTTAGGCTGCTCGGCATGACAGATTTAATAACAGAACCCCTTTCTCTCTTTTTCTTTCAGTTAACTGTTGTAACTTCCTCAGAGAAAGAAATATTGAGGTCATACTCTTCCATTCCTGTGACCTCAAAGTAGAGGTTTGCAAACATTTTCATCTCACAGTACACATCACATACGTGGGACTTCTGGATCACAAAAGTCCCATAACATCACAGGTTGCTGAGACACAGGAGAAGAAATGGAGGCAGTCCACCCTGGTTTCTGCCCCTGAGGCAGGGTTCTAGCTGATGAGGTGCACCTGCAGACCTTTTGCAGCACACAAGATGCTACAGCAATGTGGTTGAAAATCACTGCCACAGAGAATGGCTGTAGACTAGTTTCCTGAGGTAAGATGTTACTGATTCCCCTGCAACCTTCACTGACAACTTTCAACAAGAAAAGACAATGGGGAAATTGGTAGTTGGTCGTGTGATTCCGGACACCATGACTACACAGGATTTGCCTAACAATTGCAACTGGGACTGCTGGAACTATTGTGGTAAGTTGGTGCAGTCACATGACACCACACCTTGACCGCATCATTTAACAACAGTTTTTCTGGTCCCAATTACCATTAGTAAGTGAAGGCTACATGAATGACACAGGTCACCCATTAAGTTCCACAGAAGGAATTATTTGAAATGGGGAAATCATTCAAAAAAGAATTTTAAGACTCTTTTTAAAGAATTTTTAAAAAGGCCTATCTTGAAATGACCTTATATAAAAATCTATAGTGCAATCACTTTGGCAATGCTAATTATATTTTAGAAAGTATTTTGTAAAGAAGCAGAAATAGCCCCCATAATGTCAATTTATTGGGAGGCATTCTTCTGTATGGAAAGGCTGTAATATCTGAAACATTTTAGTGTAGACAAGAAGACACCTAACATGACAAAGCTGCATAAAATAATGAATGATGTGGAAAAGTGGGTAGAAAAAAGTTTCTTTCCTTTATTTATAATAAGGGAATTTGAGCATTGTCCAAAAAAGCTAATTAAAGAAAATTCAGGACAGATAAAAGATAATACATTTTTTTATCAAGTACATTAGTAAACTGGCGTTTGTTTATAAAAGGCAGATTGATACTTTAGAAAATTATATGGAGGGTAATGCTATCAATTACCATTAGACATAATGGCTATGCATGACTTATATAGGACTTAACTATGGGAAGAGAATGATGGACTGCATTTACCAAGATAGAAAATGAAGATCTCAAGACTACAGATTTTCCTAATAAAGTAGCCTAGTATCAGGGGAAATTAGGACTCAATTTGGTAAACAAGAAGCATTTCATTCTCTGTTACTCTACTGTACATGTTACTTACTAAGTCGTAACATGAAAGGTGGACTCAAAGAAGACTATCATAATATCTATAGTCTCATCAGAAAAGTATCAGAAAACACACCTGGTTAGAAGTCATATTTTCTGCTTTCATTAAGGAAGAGTAATTTCTGTAAAAAGAAAGCAAATACATTTAAATTTTTTAAGGTTAAATAATTAATGTAAATGGGAATTTTGCCACTGAGGTTACAACTCAGCATGAGTGACAATAAAAGGGAAAAAGTGAGTTTATAAATTAGAAGCTAAACATCTAAGTGTAGAAAAAAATTGTGACAATTAGAATTAGAATTGTGACAATTAAAATTGTGACTAGATTTCAAATTCCAGTTTCCATAGATCCAAAAGTGGCTTGGTTTGAATGATAAACGTAAGATTTCTACAATGGGGAGTAAGATGCTGGCATGCTTGTTTGGAACTTTACTTGTAATATGACCAATTAGAAACTGATACTGGCAGTGTCTTTTGATTGAACCACATACAAGTATCAGCTCTTGCTGAATTTATCTTCAAAATCTCTGGAACAAAACAACCTAAGAAGATTCCTGTAAACTCTAAAGCAGGGGTCCCCAATCCCCGATCCATGGACCAGTAACGGTCCGTGGCATGCCAGCAACTAGTTCCCACAAACAAGCAAAGCCCCATCCGTGAGATGTAGGCAGCACATAAAACCACACACCATCTGGTCTGCGGAAAAAACCTCTCTCCATGGAACCAGTCCCTGGTGCCCAAAAGATTGGGGACCTCTGCTCTAAAGGCACATAGCTGCAACACAGAAAAACAAACTATAGATAATCCTTGCTTAATGACCACAACTGGCACCAGAATATTAGTTATTGAGTGAAGAAGTTGGTAAGCAAAATCCCCACATAACTGCTTTGCTCAACAACCACAACCCCAACACTCCTGGTTACACACATTAAGTGATCTTCTGGGTCATTAAGGAGACAGAATGAAAGAGCTGCCTGCCAAAAGATTTCAGCTACACACAGAGCTGAAACTCTCCCAGCTGATACACCTTTCTCTCTTAAACATTCTGCAGTCTGCCAAAGGATTTCAGCTCCCCTCTGGTGTGGAGGGGAAGTCATTTGTGGGGCTGCAGGAATAGAGCTGAAATCTTCAGGATTTCTCTTAGGCTTTCAACATTCTGTTATTATACGGTACAAAAATAAAAAAGAGTTAGAATCATTTGTGTGATAAGTGTTTCCTAACCAGTCCTGGCCTATCTTAAAGGACAGACAATTTCTGAGAGAGGATACATTTTGAGACTACTCTTCTGAAATAGCAGAATGTAGTCTAACCAGCAAGAAGATATCAAATTGGAGTAGTGCCATTCTATATATTGTATAGTTGCAAAAACTAGCTGCCCTGGTTGCCTACAAGGAACACCAAGAAGAAAAAGGGAGGAAGGAGCAAAGAAGAACATTTTGATTAGTGAACTATATGGCTAGAACAGGTTGCAATCCATTCCACCTTGGGAAATTAATTACTTACATTTGTAACAATACTGTGTATGAGCATTCTGTTGATTCTGTACAGCACAAACTGTTAACCTGCAGCAGCATTAGGATGAAGCTGAAATATTGGCATTACACCACCATTATTAGAAAGTTCTATAAAGTTATTTGGAAAGTCAGGGGCACAGGAGAAAAATCAAGAGTTGGGCTGGCATCCAAGCAAGTTGTTCAAAAAGCCAAACCACCTCCCTTCAAAATTTAAAACAAAACTCTTCCATGACCTGTTGAACATCCAAACTTATGGATACTATCTGCGCTTATCAGTTCAATCAGACCTTCCATAGCTGCCCATTCTAGGGATAGCAAGAAAGGAACCCATCTCCTCACTCACCTAAGCTCTTCCATTTCCTTTTTCTTTTTCATTTCGTCTTTCTCCTTTCGTTTCATCTCTTGGATCTGGGCCTTTTTCTCATTTCTCTCCTCCCTATCACGGGCTTCTTTCTCTGCAGCCAGGTCTGGGAATCGTTCCTCTTTGGTCTTTTCCAGTCGGTTCAAAATCTCATTTATCTTCTTCTCCACTGTCAATATCTTTACCTTGGAACAGGAAAGAACTGTAATTCTTATAAAAAATGTAGTTGAATTAACTTTGAGTAACACTCAGGTTTCTGTTCCCTGAGGCAACACTGATGTAGAAACACCTCAAATGGTCATGTACTTGGAGAGCCAATACTTTTACAGGTACTAAGAAAGTGGACATTTAAGAGATATTATTTTGATCTGATCCTGGTGTAAACAGGATTACTACAGAAATTATTACAGAAAGGCCACATCTGTCACCATGTTTTTTTACTATATATTGACTGTTACAAGCACATAAGTCACCAAAGTAAAGCAGTCATTAAAAATTTTTTTGACTTGATGATTTAAATAATTACTTCCAATTGTGCAATTTTGTAATTCTTAAGTCTATTGACTAAAATTGTATTTGGCACCATAGATATAGGATTGATGTCAATGTCACTGAAATGTTTTCTATCCATACTGCAGAATAAAGGGGAAAAAATCATGAGAATTTGAAATTGGGATAAGGAAACATGGATTGGGTTTTTAATGCTTCCAGAAACCACTGTCAGAAACCCTCTGAAATCAGCGTCCATAAGACTTGCTTCTGCCTTTCAAAGTAGAACTTTGGAACATTGGAGAGCAATCACTAATTTAAGAAATCCAATTAAGGAAAGAGAAAATTCTGAAACATATGAGTTTCCTTGATTGCACTATTAGTTACCAAAGCACTGACAGGTAGGAAACTGACAGGCATCATTCCCTCCAAATTCTCCTACATACTCAAACCCCATAAAGTCAATACAGAAAGAAACATTCTGAAGGCTGTTCTATTGTGAGGCCTTAAAACCCATGCTCATACCGACCAAATATTCTGATTGTCCTGGGTTCACTTCTAAATGTTACTGACAGATGTTCTTTTAGAACAGCGGGACACTATCCTGAGGTTCACCTAGTTCACCAAATAAAAACATTAAAGCAGTAACCTTCTGCTTTCATTTGGTTAAAAATACATTTTGAAAAATGCAGGGGCCTCCCCTCTTTGATTCACAGCCCTCTGATGTCACTGGAAAGGACTTGTTTTTCCAGGCTCAGGATATTAGATCACTTGCTGAAAATAATGTAGGAAGTCTTCAAAGTCACATATGCCAAATAGACAGCATGTATATTCCCATTTGGAAAAAAGGATACTTGCTGTCCTTAGCCCCATTGACCTCTTCACTCGGGGTCTAAGTGACCCTGGATTCAAGTCACATATATAGTTCCTGTGGATAGATGATGGACTAAGGCAGGGGTGTCAAACTGCTGGCCCGCGGGCCGGATGCATCATAACGAAACCACGCCCACCCTATTGCCGGCAATGGCAAAAAAAGTCACAATACGTCATGACACGTCACGTGACGTTGCGAGTTTGACATCCCTGGACTAAGGCTTCATAAACTTTGTAACTTCTTCTACAATTGCTGATAATTCAAGAATAGATAAGAAGAAGCCTGAGAATTTGTGTGGTTTCAGCCAAATTTCACATAATCATCTTCTTCTTCTTGTGCCATATCAGTTATCGGACGTTGGCGATCATGTTGACGATCCTGTTTTTATCAGCAGCCGCACGAAAAAGTGCTGCTGAGTTTTGTCCAAACCAGTCCCTTAGATTTTGAAGCCACAATGTTCTTCTTCTGCCTGGACCTCGTTTGCCTTCAGTCTTTCCCTGGAGGATTAAGTGGAGTATGCCGTATTTTTCTGGGTGTCGCATCACATGTCCGAAATATTCTAATTTTCGTTTTTTCACATATTCATGCATGTGCCAAATACTTTAACTCCATATTTATTCTCAAGAAAATAATAAAAATTATATTTTTTGTATAATGTCTGTAATGGCTGGTTCTTAATGGAATTTTTTCAGAATCTTCTGCCTTTTTAAAAATTCACTGGTAAAACCAAGTCCTTCAGCAATGCTCTTAGTTTTCCTAAAACTAGTTAGTTAAGAATAATTCAGCGACTGGATTTCTTCCAAGAGAAATAGATATGTAGAAATAAAAGCTTCAAAAGGTGATAGATCACTTACATTTTTAAGATTTTTTTTAAAAAGTTTGGAAATCTCAATTGAAAGAGAAACAGCAAACATAAAGGCAGGACTCTTCCTAGTTGAAGAGCACTTGCTTCCCCCCCCCCTAATTATTATATGGCATTCATTTTACTATGGTTGCTGGAGATGTTTCCTCTAAATTTCTTTCATTCTTTTATTTTCCATTCTCTCCCAAAAATGTATTTCTAAGTCTTTAAAGGCAAAGAAAATTTTTGAACACAGTGAAAATACCAATTTAAATCAAATTATTTCACTGGTCCGTAAGTCATCCTGGGGGAGTAGCACAGAAGCCTTTCCCAGACCTAATTCTATAGTTTTTCTTTTAATCTAGGAAGACAGAAGCTGATGGAAGGCCTTATATGTGCAAATCATGTTTTCCCACCAAAATACATCCCCTCTCCCAGTATGCAAAGATGATCCTAACAATTCATTAAAAGCACTGTTCCCAGCAATTTTGGACAACCCTCTAAAATTATAGGGATAATGAACAACAAATATAGCTACTATCCAAAGATGATTGGGATGGAGCTTCATTGATTTATTCTTGTTGGTGCTCTTCACATGACTGTCTATACTGTCCTCCCCAAGAACATTTGTATGATATGCTTCATCCTTTCATTTTTTACCAAGATCAATTCTTTCTACTTTTACCTTTTGCAACTGGAAGAGCCAAATTTAGTGAACTGTGGTATTTATCTGCACAATTTATTCTAAACACAGGAATTGCAGATGGGATAGCACTAGAATATTAGAAGTCAAGACAATCATCTTGCAATCAAATTACTAGAAATAAAGGGAAATCATGTATAACGAGTTGCTACAAAAGGTATCATAGCTTAATCATTGGCAATGTTTCTCACACAATGTCATTTATTGGGAGTTTAGCTGAAACATCATATCAGGAAACCGAATAATTAACAGCAGGGCAATGCTGTTGATCCTTCTGCATTGCAACTTGTAAAGCAGTGTTTCTCAACCTTGACAATTTTAAGGCATGTGGACTTCAACTCCCAGAATTCCACAGCCAGCATTGCTGGCTGTGGAATTCTGGGAATTGAAGTCCACATGCCTTAAAATTGTCAAGGTTGAGAAACACTGTTGTAAAGGTTCCAATCAGTATCAGATCTCCATTGCAGCCTCAGGCTTTTCATGGACTTTAACTTTAGTGGTGAGAGAAGAAGCCAAAGATACTTCTGCTTTCCCACATACTCTTTCTGCATTTTACAGAAGATTAGCAAAATCTGCCATTAGCTTCTTGGTCTGATGAAGGAAAGTAGCTTGAAACCTTTGGAGAGGTCAGGGAGGAAGAAGATACTTACGTCCTTTTGTTTATGAAATCCAATCTGGCCCACATCCATGTCTGCTGTTTTCTTTAGGTTGGCCCATGGGGTGTATACTACATTAACATTATTCATTTTGCAGCCTAAAAAGAGAGAGTACTTATATAGAAAAAAGAGTAATTATGCCCATTTCTGGGCATCTTTCTCAATGCCTTAATTAGGATCAGAAACATTTACATAGTAAGACTACAATATCTACAGCTAAGCTATTTTCCAAGAAACTTGAAATACCTTTTATGTTTCCAATTATGTAAAAGAGGCAGAAAGAGTGGAAGATCTCATCAGCTCCCACAATACTGCCCAATCATGCTACATCACATCTGCTAAAAATTGAGGCTCAGAGCAATTGACTAGCTCCAGTTATTCCCAGAAAGGTACTAGTTAGAGACTCTCAATCTTTCATCTGTCTAATTCCTGCAGGAACAGGGAAGCAACGCCAAGAATTAAAGAGATGTTCCAAGATTTTTGGGATGAAATTTTTAAAGACAACAACTGAACAAACCATCTGCTTCCCATGACAATAGTCAAGGCACGAAAGGAGTATCTAAATATAAGTCATAATTCAACAGTTATAATCCTCCACATGTAGCCCTACACATTTTGCTATTATTTTCTAGCTTTGAAGCATGGAGTTTATCTATCCAAAACTGACACAAATTGTAAAGAACTCTGGATAATGCAACATTTATTGTTCCACACATATCTATTTTTTGAGAACATACTTAGACTTTGAGTAGCATACTAAAGGCTGCATTCCAAAAATGACTGTAGGACAAAGACTAGGTTTAATTTAAATTATTGAAAATATTTCTTCTATCCCAGTGGTTCTTAACCTTTTCTTCACCACAGACCCTCTTTAAATACCTTTTGTGGCCACGGACCACCAAGAGTTAACTCAAGAGTTAAAGCACTAGACCGTACCAAATATTGTGACATCGCGGCCCCCCAGGGGTCTGCGGACCATAGGTTGAGAAACACTGTTGTATCCTATAAAAATCACTATACAATTTGATAGCAATTTTGGAGCCATCTGGGAGGCTGCATGCAAGTTTTTTGGGGATTTTAGACTGTTTTACTCTGACAGGAATTGGATTAACAAGGCTCCATATTCTTTACCACTTTATAATTTTAGTTTTATCCATATTTCCTTCCAAAAGCTCAAAAATAAATTTGTACTTAGCTCTCAAAGTCCTAAATTATGATTCAGCACATGAAATTTTTGAATGACGATTTGAAACTGGGACTCTGAAATTTCAGTACTGTATTTGATCCCCTAATATTATATTGGGGCTTTCAGAACACTTACTCTGTAACCCATTTTGTATCTGCCTAGAGTGCTCTCTCCAAATATTGAGATGTGATCCAATGAATGCAGATACAGCAGGATAAAAATTTAAAACTTATGAGATAATACTGAAGCTTCCTTTTAATCTTACGCACGTGGTGCCCTAGTATTTCCTCAAAAAAAGTTTGCAGAATCTAAGGCACAGAACTGAAAGGAGTTTTCAAGGCTAAAAAACATCTCTAAGAGATGCTCGGTGGCCTATGGTAAAAGAGATCATATAAGCATTGAGCTCAATTTGAGTACAAGCCTCAACTTTCAACTGCTCATATCTCCTAGAGGGCAAGCAGGCAAACCCAGCAGCTGTAAAGTTCTAGGTCTGGAATTTTGAGCAAACCAAAAACATAGAAGCATTCCACAAACCAAGACTTCTGGCTTAGGTGGAAGAGAGGGAACATAAAATAACACTCCTGGAACTAACCAGCCAACTGAAAAAATAAGGCTCCCGTGCAGCTGGTGCATAATAATCATTCCATTATTACATCTTATTTTTAAAATTATATTGGATAGCTAGTCATTAGGCGATTAATTGAAATTATGGAATTTGGATCTCCAAAAAGGATCCTTGAGTCTGACTATATTCATGGTATTTTGACTTTACTCTCACTAAAGGAAGAAAGCCAACCCCACTAATTTGGATCGGCAGAAAAGAAAGGGGGGAGCTTCTGGAATGTAGCTTGGGGTTTCTGAACTGTGTCCCCAGTAGAGCTAGCTGTCTTATGTATTAAATTATGGCAACTGAAGAACTGTGGACTTAACAACCCAATACATCTGCAGATCATACGGTTGGAGAATTAGAGGGAAAAGCTGAGTAGTTTTCTGTGATCTTAATGCTGGTTAAAAAGGAGGGAAAGATCTTCCTTTACTAAAGTTCCCTGAGGTATCAGGTAACAGTATCTTAATTATCTAGTGTTCCCCCATGGCTGAAATAGGACAAGGAAACATAATCAAAAATTCCTTTGAAGGCCACAATACAATAATTTTCGGAAATTCTGAGACAATGCTGGCCAAGACCACAGACAATAAGAAATTTGAAACATACAGTATTTTACTTGGGGAATTATGTTCTCTTCTCCCTCGCCCCCAGCAATGCCCACAAAACATTAGAAGTTAAGTTGGGAAAAGATGGACTTCATATTGGCAAAAATCCCATAAATACATGCAAAGAGTCATTGAAAAGAAAGAAAGAAAGAAAGGAAGGGAGGGAGGGAGGGAGGGAGGGAGGGAGGAAAGAAAGAAAGAAAGAAAGAAAGAAAGAAAGAAAGAAAGAAAGAAAGAAAGAAAGAAAGAAAGAAAGAAAGAAAGAAAGAAAGAAAGAAAGAAAATCTCTATGAGCACCTGATGAGATCTGAAGTAGGAGAAGAAGATGGCTTACAGAGGCAACTACTTAAATATTAACCCAAATATTGAACCATCTCTAATAGTGGCTTCCTCTGTTCAACACACTGGTACATCAGATGGACAGATGCTAGATCAAAGCAATCTGTTGGGATAGGGCACATCTGGAATTTAAAGAACATGCAGTGGGCACACTTAAGGCTGCTGCAGATGTTCACAGAAAAGACATGACTGATCACAAAACATAAATTTATCACAATACAAACTAGTCTCCTATGATATTCTTTACCATCTCAGGAGGAACTCTGAGGAGCCAACAACGTTCTTATATGTAATGCAGTATGATGGTTGAATTTTACCTTGCAGCATTCCATTTTTTAAAAAATATATTCTTTTAATAAAAAATAAATAGGATAAGGAACTTGGTGAGCACTAAGGAAAATATATGGAAGCTACTTGTATCCACATTACAACATTGCCTATTTCTATGCTACACTATACCGTCTTCCATTACAATTTGACATCTACTTGGCTGAAACTAATTATCATTGATCCTTGTGCCTTTGCTAGGACAACCTTTTTCATATTTTGAAATTTCCAAATGATTCATATTGTTCTAGGCTCTGAAGCTTTGGTATTTGTTAATCCCAAATTCAAAAGCCTTCCTCCTTGACTCTCCACTCAAAATCCTTGTAATTTATTTTGGCTCACTTTCTCATATAGGCAAAACTTTACCTTGAATGCTGTTGGCCTTCACAAGCTGTGCGCAATCTATCAAAACCTCCTTAGGAATATCATCCACTGTTTGCCCCTAAAATAAATCAAGGTGGATATGAGCATTCTAGGTGTGGGAATGCAGAGAACGTGCTGTGAAAAGTTTCACAGTCCCTTGCGCTGAATTTATGGATACATAAGGCTGTTATAGCAAAAATGCCAAATGCTTAAAAGGAGTAATAGTATTATATAAGTTTTCCTGGGCTAGATCTCATTTCATGCAAATTATAAACTGGACTGGAAATTTAAAATACTGCCTTATTAAAAATGTCTTGTTCTATATAATGGTTTAAGACTATTTGCTGCTATTGTAATGAACAAATTTACTATAGCATTGTTGTTGTTTTAAAAAAGTATACCTTGATCTTTCTTGCACACAATTAAATCAGTTTATGAAAGATTTCACATGTCATATCAAGCCGTTCATTTTAAAATCTTGTTTTGCAGACAAAGATACAACTCTGGGTTCACTAACTGCCATAAGCTATACAAGCATATAATTGTTAAGCTGACATGATACAAATAAAAACCATGAAAATCATATAGCTCACTATAACATCTTGGTTAGATGTTTTGAGAATAAAATTGATTATATTTTCCATGATTGAAATCCTAGAGTTTTGGCAATCCAAACTGTATTAGACCAGAGCACTATTTGATTAGATTCCTTTGGATGACTTTGTTTTTAAGGCATAAGGATGTAAACAAGTATATATTTTTCAGGTCCTACTCCTCGTAGCTTATTATGCCTAATATGAAAATTATGCTCAGCTGAATTCAAGAAGAATTTTAGTCTGATAACTTTTTGATTTCCAAAACAGAGATCAGAATTCTAGGCATGGTCCACACCTGAAAAATATCAAACCATTGTTGCAAATGTTCAATCAGGCCATTCTTGAACACTGAAATGTTCTTAGGAAACTGCAAAGTTCTGCCACCAGAAAAGGGAAATTTTGTACAGAGCTATTGGTGTATTACTCTGCATAATTTTGTGTATTGTTGCTATATAGCTATGAAAGCACAATCCCACAACTATTCATGGATGCATGTAACTGAGCAAAAAAGCAAAGCTGGACAGTTACCTTATATAGCCGGAGGTAGACATGTGCTGAGGAGAGCTTGTCCACATGAAACCTAGACAAAGTGCAAAAGTTTGATAGGAATTGCAATTCAGTATCTTCCCCATAGACACAACACTTCTAGATATTATCATGTGGTGTCTGTGACTTAATAGTATGGAGAAGAATTATGTCTTAACATGTTAATCTCTGACTGAAGATTAAGAATCCAAAGAAAAGGAAACCAGAGGGTTAAAAGAGCAAAATCTTTGGTGAAAAATACTGACATAAGATCAAGTACTCCCTCCAGTGATTCAGATTAAAACAGCACTAGATATCTGGCAAACAAAATCCTGTGCTTAACTTGTCGTGGCCATTTCTCCATCAATAAATAAGGCAAATTCATAAATCATCTCAAATAGATGCTCAGATTTTTAGTATCTTCCAGAGATTAGAACTTAATAAATCTGAGTATTGTGCCCTGTTGTTCAACTATCTATTCTTTAATTGATTTCTTGGGCACTAGTATCCAGGTGAGACAAAATATTTATAAATAAGTATTTGGGGAAGAAAAAAGTAGAAATTACACCTAACACACACATATTCCAGCACTTTAGTTCTAATCACAATCTTGCAAGCCTCTCCAAAAGACATTAAAAAAACATGAAAGGAACACTTCTTTATTACTTCATGGTTGCCTTTGGCAACCAGTATTTGGAAGTTTACTACCTCTTGTAGCTGAAGCTGGAAGGGTTATTCCGCTCTAACAAGATTTAAATAAAAAGTAATACCTCGACTTCCATAACTTTAATTTAGATATATATGAATAAATGAAATAAGAAAATAATTCTTAAAATGATGTCTTATTATCTGCATTTACTTCTCCACATAATCACCACAATTTGCTACACACTTGGACAAAGAACAAATTTATTAAAGCCATCACAGAATTCCATACTTTCCCCTCTTCTAGCTTTGTCCCTTTGAAACAATAATTAATTAAAATTCAGAAGCACAAGAAGGAACTCTTTCTGTAACACATCAAATGGCTTCACTCTTGAAAAAGCGATTGCAAAGATGGATCTCACTATCTTACTCTATCTACCATACAGTCCAGATTTGGTGCCATTTGGTTCTCTCTTCTCCCAATATTGAATTTATTTATTTGTCTCTGTGTGGATGGGTGATGCCTGACTCCAAAACAAATACTATGTTGAGCATCCATTTGACTCAAGTGGTAGAAAGGATCGGTTGAAGAGACATTACGTGGAGGGCTTTGTGATAGCTTTATGAAGCTTGGCCATCATTGAAGAAATATGAAGTAAATGTGATTACATGGAGAAGTAAATAGAGGTAACAAAAAGGGTTACCTCTATTTCAAGGGTTATTTTCCCATTTCTTAAAATATTACTATTTAAACTAATGTTATGGAGGTGGAGAATTTAATTCTCATCCAACACTTATATAGTAACACAAAAGCATCAAGCTGACAAATCTCCCCTTTAGGATTCTCATAAGTTCACAAGCTATTTTCCACAGCAATTGAAAAACACATGCTTTAAGAGTTAAGCCCAAAAGATCTACAGCAGTTTCCCATCATTGTCAACTTCCAGATGTGTGGTCTCCAACTCCCAGCATTCTTTAGCCAGCACAGTTGATGTTGAAAATTCTGGGAGTTCACATCCACACATCTGTTTTTGTCAAGATTAGGGAATTCTACTCTTCAGGAAATGAATACATATGCAGAAGTGCCAAAGCCTTAGTATGTATTTATCATTTTTATCATGCTTTTCAACTTGAAGGGCCATAAAGCATCGATTTTACCTACTAAAACTAAAGTCAAATCCTGAAATTGTTTCACTAGAAACAGATGTCTGGAATCAGTAACAGGATAGATGATGGTTGATAAGTTGAAATTCATTCCAAATAAGTCATATTATTAACTAGCAATGTTAGTGATTGAATGCTGTTGTATTAAATAATAATTGGCTTTAAATAGCACATCTCATTTCCAGCCTACATAGTTTGCTGTCTTATAAATCTGTATGAAGAGGCAAAATACAAATATTTTATATATGGAAGTAGAATCGCAAGTAGCAGTCATGAGATGTCTCATTTAATGACCACGATTCACCTAATGAATGAACTTGAAATGAGATTATAAACTATCATGGTCAGAAGATTTTCCGCTTTTGAATGTGGTGCTTAACAATAGAGTTGGCAGTCCCAATTGTAGTTGCTAAGTAAGGACTACCTGTATTAAGAAGAAACCCAGATTAATTCTCCCAAGTCCTTGGGATATAAGAGAGTGTGAAGGAAAAATGCAATAAGAGTTTGAGTGGCTTGTATGAAGCTTGGCAGCTTTTTGTGAAACTTTTAATAAATCTGTGTACTGTTTGAATATTTTATAATTCTCTCTATGGAAGAAATTATATTTATATACATTATAATATAATTATATTTTATGTAAAATATATAACCATAATTACATAATTATAATAATTAATTATACAAACACAAAACTTAATAAGCCATGGGTTGCTTTGCTATGATTGTTTTGGATAAGCCACACTTTCTGTTAGATCATACTGCTACAACAATTTGGTTCAGACAACACAGTAAAAAAACAAAGAAATTGCATTACAATTAAGCATGGTTGCGTTAATTTTGTCTGCATATGAGATGATATAAAATCTCATCAATTTTGATGCTGAGTTAAAATTATAATTTGCCAGTATTCTTGTGGTTCTTGCAGTCAAGCCTTTAAGAAGACATAAAACCAACAGGAAAAACATTTTGACAGAATGCATAACTTGTTTGGGAAGACTACAAAATTGCAACTGGGAGGTTGGAAACTTATTACTGGAAACTGGGGGGGGAAACCTCCAAAAGCATAAAAAGACAACAGGAAATGAACTCTTTTAAAAAAAAAAAAAACCCCAGCATTTTTATAGAGAGAACTAGAAAATTCACAAATGCTATGCTAGACCACTTACATTTGAGAGGTAGGGAGAGAATCTCACTTTTTTGGGTATGGCATAATATTAGAAATGGGATCTCTTCTCATATCTTAAGTCTGAGTCCAGAAAGGATGCTAATAAGTAATTATTAGGAAGGAGAAAGATTTGTTTCATACGAAAAAGGATTTCATTATACAAAAGGAGACCCTTTTGAGTACTTACCAAATATCTTCTGGCCAACCATATTTTATTAGATCTTCATCTAAAAGAAAATGCAAACAAAGACTGATCAGAGCTCTAATAGCGTTTACATAAATTGTTTTTCCTTTTCTTTTCAAACCGAAGATTTGAGACTGAAACAAAATATTAATCAGAAAGGTGGCAAAGAATATATTATGTCTGATTCTAAGATAACATATTTTAAATTTTTTAGGGAACAAACAAGTGATTTGCAACCTTCAGGTTATTTTTATGTAGTTTCAGGTTAATTTTAAACAACATTTATGTAAGAAATCAGATTAGATCTCTGATAATAACAACCTCTAGGCAAGCTGGGTGACATAAGTTTAATATATAAATATAAGTATAGGTAAGTATAAATAACAGCTATCTGGCAGTTTCCTGTAAATTACTACTTAAAAGAGAGAAATGTTACACAGTGTCAGAGAGAAAAAAGTATCCCTACTTTAAGTTGTGGCTTCACCCAGTGCATACTTCAATCTTACTCACCATGTAGCTTTCAACTCATGAGGAAAAGTAGTTCTTGACAAAAGCATTTTTGTACACCAGGGTTACAGAAGCCCAAGTTAGTGTAGCACTCAAATATTAATTTGTATATCAGCATTTTCTTTGTTACAAATTCCAATTTCAAAATAAAAATTTTAGATGAATAGGAGTACAATTTATTTTACATAGCAGGTGTTTGATCTCTGCACAAGGCACACAGTGCAATTTCACTTTTCAAAATGAACTTTACAAAATCCATTTATAAAAGCAATCTTGAAAATATTGGTGGGTGAGGAAGATGCATAAGGTATGTGGAAGTTGAATCTCTACTGAATTTATTTCTTGTCCCAATTTATCAATTACATTATCTTTTTTACTTGATTGTCCACAAAAGTGACACAATCTAATTTAGACTGTACCCTATACTCACAGTTACTACATTTGCCCTGGAAGAAAAGAAATGTTCCATCTGTTTAAAGATAAAAGGTTGAGAATTGTGAGGGGTGGGGTCGGGGGAGTGTGTCACTGAATTATGCAAAATGTACTGATATTATTAAATTCCTTTTTTAATTATTAAATTTGTTTGCTGCCCATCTCACTGCAAGGCAACTGTATCAATATTGTATATATCAACTGTATATCAAGTACCATATCAAGAACCTTGATTAACACAATATAAATCAGGAAATGTAATTACATAACATTGTGTTAAGTTTATTCCATATTATGAAGAATCTATTCTATTCAAGCACCTCTATCACAAAATTGCACATAATTTCTATGGACAAATAAACCATTTTTCACATGGTACCAACCCATGTATATAATAATCTAAGAATGGTTTCCAGTTTGAGTTGAAACTTGTGCCTGATTTACTTTTAAGGTACAAAGATATTCCAGATGCCAAAGCATATTCTCACAACTTTTTAAATTTATTAGTTGAGAAAATTTAGATGGCCGCCCAACTCACTCACCATAACTCTGGATGGCTTACAGAAATAAAACTGCAATACAAAAGGCAATAAAGTCCCCTGCCAACAATAATTTTTGAAAATGATTTATCCACTCTAGCAAAATTGGACTAACGTATCAACAACAAAACATCTTATACCAATTTACTCCAAATAAATGTTCAGAGTAAATTTTATGTTCTTCCTTTGAAGTTCCTACTATTAAATTGTTATTACTACATTAAAATTTTGTATCCATTTAATCATGCAGTCTTTGACATTTCCAGATTCTAAGTTATATTTCACCAGTAATCTATAAATAAGGTTCAACAAATATTGAGTTACGTGTTATAAGGTTTTCCAACTTCCCGATACTGTATTCCCCTTATTTCTGCAATTCTTTTAATATGTTTCTACATACTTGAAGATAATAAAACCATTATCTTCTGCAAGGCTCTTCTGCACTCTTGCCAAAAACACTACTACAGGGACTTGTCCAGGCAGTTGCCAGGAGTTAATGCTGACTCAAAGGAACCAAGTAAATAAATAATCTTACTGATTCAAACCATTTAGACCAGGGGTAGGCAACTGGCTAGCTCAAGAATTCTGGGAGTTGAAGTCCACAAGTCATAAAAGAGCCAAGGTTGACTACCCCTGATCTAGACCAAGAGGGCCATGTAGATGTCACTAGGAAGTAAAACGTAAGCACAGGGGTATTTTCTCTCCCAGCACAGCTCTCATAATGGAGGCAATAAATTGTCATCGAAACTGTCAGACTTGTATTTTAATCGTCTAATAATTTGTTTAATCACTCTTTAAAACCATCTACATTGGCAACTATATGTTGGTAACAAATGTCATAGCTTAAAAAAAAACAACCTTCCTGTACAACATACTCTTGTAATTTACTGTAATCAGTCATCAGAAACGACAGTTTGTTGACTTACAACTTACAACTTACAACAGTTCATTTAGTGACTATTCAAAGTTACAATAGCACTGAAAAAAGTGACTTATGACCATTTTTCAGACTTACGATCATTGCAGTATCCCCATGACCATGTGATCAAAATTCAGACGCTTGGCAAACTGACTCACGTTTATGACATTTGCAGGATCATGTGATCACCTTTTAGGGCCTTCTCACAAGTAAAGTCAATGGGAAAGCCAGATTCACTTAACAATTGTGGCAAGAAAGGGCGTAATATGGGGCAAAATTCACTTAACAACTGTCTCACTTAGCAACAGAAATTTTGGGCTCAATTGTGGTTGTAAGTGGTCTGCTTATATTTTTATCCAACATTTTATCAATATTGATTTGGGAACTAATTTCCTAAAACTAATAATCATCCTGCCATTCTAAAAAATGTGACTACTGTATCTAAAAGAAAGGGTGAGTGAATTCCCAAGCAATTGGAAGCTAAAAAGAGCTGTTACAGAAGATGCATAAATTATCAATAGATCACACTTTTTTCATGCAAATCAAAAGAATGTTTTACTTACTTTCATACTTGTCTTTTCCCATATAAATTGTATAAACAGAAGGAATAACTGAAGGACAGAAAAGAAAAAAATAACCCATGTTTTACATCAAACTATGCACAGATATGCAAGGTTTCCACAAAAGATTTATCTATACTAAAACTATTAAACATATTCATATCCCAATGTCAGAATCATTATAAGCTTTCCTCAGCTGAGGGATAACTAATTTTGGTCTAAAAACATAAGTTGCCCCAGTATTATTTTCAGATAGGCTCTGAAATATATTTTATTATACATATAAGGAGAAAAGGAAAATTCTAAAAAATGTGGAAAAATGTGGTTAAAGAGAGCAAGGAATGATTAAGATTACAAGAGGTAAAGATAACTTTCAGAAATGGGTGAAAAGTGCTAAACAATGAATCAATGGTATTAAAAATGAAAGTGATTGCATTATGTTTGAAGAAACTGAAGTGAGGAAATGCTGGAATAATATTTTAGAAATTATAGTATTATGCCAAATAGAATTCCATAAAAGTTAGTGTTTAGGAAAAAGCTGACAGAAAAGAATATATGCTCTGAGAATGCTGGATATGGTAAGGCTGCAGATATAAACAGTACAGTTGAAGAAATGATAAAATTTGGATGTGGTTTGCTTATGAAATGGTTGTGTATAACATATGTATGAAAACCTCACCTGTGAAGAAATCCATTAATGTTCCCCTTTTTAAAGAGAAAGATTAATAATACAAAAGGGGAATTAGCTTGCGAGTCTTAGAAAGTGTTTGGCAGAATTCTGATTGAAAGCATACTAGACATGACAATGAGCAAAATTTTTGCATTACAACAATTCTCTGAAAAATATATGAAGGTGATAAGATTTATTGTACCTTTTCTTATATAGAGAAAACTCTATATGTATAATGAAAACAGACTTGAATTATGGAATGTTTTGTGCAAATATGGTGCTGAAAATGCATTGTTGAATGGATGTTTATGCTGAAAGCAGAACATAACTGACAATAAAAGGAATGCTTAGAAAATGGCTTAACGTTAAGGATATAAAACAACAATCCGTTTGCTTATTTAATGTACTTCTGAATAATTTTATAAGAAGTTTTTGTGATGACATTGGAGATACAGTATATAGGTTAGGGATGTGAATATGCATATATTTGCATGCAGAGGTTGTTGTATTATTGGCTGAGAATCCACAAGATTTCCAGCAAATGTTGTACAGGTTGTATGGTGCAACTAAAAACATGGACCTGAAAATTAACAGTCATCAAATATAGCTGCATTTGTTAAGGAAAGTGAAGTGAATAATTGCAATTTATTCACATTTTTCTACTCCTTTTCTCCGCTTTACAGAACACTGCTTACCCAATGTAGAATAGTATGATATGTAGAAATGTATACTACCAGAATGGAGAAAAAAATGTACCAAAAACAATACTGTAAGAGTCGTGGGAGGCAAGACAAAAGCTTAGGACAGTATTTTGTTCTCACAAACAGACCATGAGACAACAGTACCCACCAATTCTACCTCCTCTTAGTCAAAATCCAAAGCAATCATTTCAACAAGTGTGCCAAATGGTGGGAAGATATGGATTGGATTCACACACTATGCTAAATTATGGTTTGAATCTAGCTAAACTGTTTGTGATTTTTATTGTACAATTTTTCATTTTTTTCTGAAAACGTGTCAAATTGAGACGTTGTAATAAAAAAAATATGTCCTTTTTTCATAAATGGTGGCAATCAGTGCACCAGCAAGCACTTGGTTGTATTCCTTCACAACAAGATCACTTTTCATGAACCCACCACAGAAATCTGAGCGAAGATGCTTCTCGTTTCATCTTCCAGTTGCCTTCTGTAAAATCTCCTAAACTCTCTGGGGTGGGGAGTTACCTTCATCTTGTTTATCAACTATAGCACGGCCAGCCCACCCTAAGAGAACATCATGCAGAGATAACGAGGCCACTGGATAGGTTGGACTGATGACTACAAACCCATCATCCGCCAACCGAAACAGAAGTGGCTGGTGATAACAAGAGTTGTAATCTGTCACATCAACCGGGGAAAAGCGGTTTCAGATATAAGCATCCACTTTTATCTGACAAGAGTTGTGAGCGTGGCCAGGCCACTCTTACCGTTGGACGTGAAATAAAAAACCATGGCAACACAACACGAGAGCTCCTTCTCACCCGCTTCGGAAATTTAAGCCAGAAAGCTTCGCAAACGGCCAGCGCCTTCCGGTTCTAGCGAGGCGGCTCTCAGGAAATGACGTAAGTCAATAGTTCCCATAGAGATAATAATTGTTAGAAGCAGAACTTTCCGAAAATCCAACGTAGAGGTTAATTTTCCAACGGTGGGTTTCACCCCTATAAGCCTAAAGATAGGTACAGGGACCCTCATCCATGTTCCCTCGTTGTCTGCTTCCTTAAACGAAACAAAAATCAAACTCTCTGTTGTGTAGTTTTATATAAATCTTATATAAATCTTTTCCTTTACGAGAAAAAAAAATGTTTTTTTACTTTGAAGGGGGCATAGAGAAACGGGTGACCTCAGGCTCAAGCACCACTGAATGGGGCTGGATACGTATTTGCCTACGTGACAATTTTCTACCTGCGATAACCTGCAAATGTGCATTCATTTTAAATATTGCAGTATTCGTCTATGCCAGTAGGGTAGAATTTTCTGCTTCTGAGAAGGCAGACATTAGGAAAGTTTCTTAGGAACGGATCCAGGCTATGGGTCTGTATCTATCTTCAAAAAGTTACTGTGTTCTAAGAGTGAAAATGTAAAGCAACATGTTTGATCAGCTTAAGGATTTAATGAATGGTATATCACTAGTTTTTTAGTCATGTTTATTTTAATCTCCATATCTTTTGGGGGGGGTATTCATAAATAATCACCATTTCTCTATTTTTCTTTCTGTTGGTGCTGGTTGTTTTGTATTTCACTATTAAAAAAAAACAAAACCTCCCATTATCTCCAATAAATGTGGCCATGCTGGTTCTATAAAGCTGGAAAAAGTTGATCTACATATCTAATACAATATTTTATTTATTTTCCACCTTTATTATTTTTAAAATCATTCAGGGCAGCAAACATACCTAATACTACTACTTCCTATTTTCTGGAAAGCCAACTTTCATGCCTAAAATGGGACTAGGACTCATGTTTTCCAGGTTTGTGATCTAGTGTCTTAACCACTAGACCAAACTAATTCTGTTGTCTTCTGTTTCTGTATTTCATGTCCCCTTGCTTTAATTCAAGTAATAAGAATTGAACAGGGGAAAGTCCTTGTAAATCAAAACGCTTGCAGCTGTCTTATGAAACTTTATAGGTCTAATACAAGTATCATTTGAAAATGATTTTTAAAAAGTATTTGCTAGACCTAAGTAATTGATACACATTTCATTCTTAGCTTTGAATTCTTGCCTGAGTTGGGTTCATGTTTATGTTGAGATGCTTGTGCCTTAGAATTTTATACCAAAAAAGTGAGGTCAAAATAATGAATAAATTAAACAAACAAATGACTATAAGCACCACTGGTGTATATACCTAACATCTTCACTGTTTATAAGTTGAGTGGACTGAATGTGGTTAATTTTGATGTTGTCTGCTGATCAGAGAAAAGGCTTCAGCCAAGCAAAATGGACTGTAAAAGACATTTGTGATGCAAGCATGACCTCAGATGGGAAGCCCTAAGAACCTGTAGCCTAGAGGCTGACAGAGCAGCTGCTGATATACCAGCTGGGCCCCAGCACCATGCTGACAGTCCTGCAGAATGTCATCTCAGACTGCTGCCACCTGCTGTTTCTGCTAGCCGCCATTTTATTTGTGCCTGCTACTATCTGGGCCTTCAAAAAGGTGAAAAAAATACAGGTAAGATCAAAATTCTTCATGGAAAGTTGCTTAAATTGCTGGTCTTGGCTGTGGTCATGAAGAAGGATAGAGGCTGTTAACTAAATACTAAATACAACAAGCTATTGTCATATACTTTGTTTACTTCAATTCACAAAGTTCCATTTATCTTTTTAAGCTATAAGCAAGCTTTTAAGGGAGAAGGTGGCTCTTAAACTTCAGCTATAACTTCATTATCTATCTGACAGAAAGCAAAGGCTTATTTTATGAGACATGTAACTATTTTATGGATATAGTAGAGTATATTTTCACTATGTTTGATGGCTGGATCTGAAACATCTTAACCAACTATTAGAAATATTTTGTGTTGTGTAAAGTTCTGGAATTATTTGGGAAGCAATGGGAAAGAGAGAGTTGCTTCTATTGTTTTTGTGGCAGCTTGTTTAGCTTTTTTTTTTAAAAAAAATGGAAATAATTAGACTACAATAAAAAAGACAAGAAGTGGTATTTGTAAAGAGTGTTCTATTCTCACATTTTTCTTGAGAAAAATATTTCTCTGCTCTGAGAAAAGAAATCACAGGAAAAATTCATTTCATATTCCTTTGTGGAGGAAAGTACACCTTCATCTTTATTTGGATAAGCTCTTTTGTGCCATCCACTCTTTGTTATTGCCTACATCATTATTGATTTGATTGAAATCCTGCTTTTGTTTCATCTGGACTTATGGTCAGAGAATGACAGAATAATAGCTGATTAAACAAATCAATATAATTTCTTTCTTCCTTACATATGAGCACTAAGCAAATCTGAGAAGGCCATTTTTATGGGGTTTTCCTCATTTTTAAAAGTAGTATAGGAGACTGATTTTCCCTGCAGTCACTATAATAGTCTTCCATAATAAAGGATTGTGGAAAAATAGGACTGTTTTTAAATACTACTATATATAATTTCTGTCTGTCAAAATGAGTCATATGTCTCTCAAGAATGGTGTCCAGAAGCCCAGATGTTGCAAAAGTGCCAACTTATAACAAAATAAACCTGGGAAACCTTGGCTAAGAAGCAAGATGAGATCGTACACAAGTCTTTTTGTTTTATGTTATTTAGCTGGAGAGAAGGAGAATAAAAATGGATTGGCTCATAGTATTAATAATTTTGAGGTTTGCAGAAATGAAGATAATTATAGGTCAAGTTTAAATTGTTTGTGAGGGGCTTGGGAAGGAAAACACTGGTGATACAAAATTAATCTTGGGTGGCATATTTCTTTCTTTACCATATAATCATACAGATAGAATGGATCCTGTAGATCAAGGCTTTTCAACCGGTGGTACACATACCACCAGTGGTACTTTGGTACATGGCAGGTGGTACGCGACCCTCCTAGAGAAGTGTAGCGGGGAAGGGAAAGAGCTGAAGCGACCCAAGCCAGAGGGAGAGGCAACTGAAGCTGCAGGACTGTTGGAGCTTGGCAGAAGCCCCAGGAGTGCCAGCAGGGCTCCAGCTGATTGACGCTTCCGGAAGCAGCGCATAGCTGGAGGTGAAGAGAAAAGGAGGAGGGGAGGAGAGGAGAGGATATAAAAGGAGGTAGTTTTGGCGGGAAAGAGGACGGAGAAGCTGTGAAAGAAGAGCTCAGCAGGCAGGGAGGAAAAAGAGACAGGGAAGAAGAAGCTGTTGCTGGAAGAAAAGTTCCCTTGGTTTGTTTTCTCCAGCCAGGAGAATGCAATCAGCGTTGATGAAATGAAAAGTTGGGAGACGAGCATGTTGGAAAGGGTTGGTTTATTTAGTTCTGGGTCAGCTGGCAACTTGATTGTGTTACCATAAGGATTTTTATACTTTTACACCGTTTTGTAATTCAGAGGCTCGGTTTGTATGCTTTGGTTATTGGAATATTTTAGTCTGTTTCACAAAGGCTAGCGATGAGTCCAAAGTGTTGGCTTCCATAGGTTTAATCCCTTTAAACAAATGTAATTAGTTTTACCCCCTTATCTTGAATCTGTCTATGGCTTTTAGCAAGTTTTCTTTGTTGGTAAACAGGCTTAATTTAAGGTTATTGCTTTTCGCAATTGCAGGAGCCTTTCAGGCTCCAGTTGCAACATTGTGACACACCTGAGGCAGCTTAAAGGAAAAAAATAGATTTTAGTGTTTCTTTATTCTGGGAGGCTTTTGTGAGCCTTTCTTGCTTTGTGCTTGATTCCTGTGTCTTTAGGGGTACAGTGAAGGGACTGGGGGGGTGCATTCTTACTACACTATGGAAGGAGAGCTCAGAAGGCAGGGAGGAAGAAGAGGAGAGGGAGAGTGGAAGAAGGGCCAACCAACCAGCTGGCAGTGGTGCATATTAATAAATATGGATAAATTCATCATATATTTCTTAGCACAAAAGGAAAGTGATTCGGCAAAGGAACTGCCACCGAAGAAATTAAAACCAGTACTTTTTTCCTTTTTTATGGTTTGTAACATTTTATTAGATTATGGAATAAAATACAAAAATACAAAAGAAAGTAGTAGGACACAGTGGGGAGGATGAAGGGGAAAAAAGTGAGGGGGGGAAGGGGAAAAGAAAAGGCATTGACTTCTGACTTCCTCTGTTGCAGTAGAATGAAGCATTAACATCGAACCTCAACTTTTTACTTTTCCATAATATTATAAACTAGCCTTTTCTAGAACAACAAATGAATCTAATCAGTAAAACCCCAAATCCCCCCCCTTTTTTTTAATCATCAGGTTTTTGACACCTTGCTAAGCACTGGTGGCATTAAAATATTGTCATGTCCTAAAAGTGGTACAATCTGTGAAAAGGTTGAAAAGCCCTGCTGTAACCCCATCCAGTGTTAGAACATCCCCAACAGACGGTTGTCCAATATTTACTTTAAGAACATCAATGATGAAAAAAATGATTCCTTTAAATAATTGTTTCACTTATTAAAGTTCTCAAAATGGACAAATCATAAGATTCTTTTGATGTTCAATCAAACTGTACCCTCTCTTCAAACTTGCTATTGTTATATGTAATTCTACGCTTTGGGACAGAAAAAAACAATTCTTCATAGATTTTTATAGAACAATTCTTATGTGTGTTTCTTTTCTTCTTCTATAGGCTGATGCCCGCAACAAAAAGCAGAGCAAGTACAGAGTACCATGGATAGGTAAGTGATGCACTTAATTTCACTTTCTCTTTCTTTTTAGCCCTATAGCACTGGGATGCCTTGGCAATCCCAGCCAACATGCCCTTTGCTGTGAATTCTGAGGGTTGACATCTACACATTTACCATGTATTAAGGGTGAGAAACATTGCTGTAGTAATTGGGAGGTTGAGTCTTGGAGCAGTCAACCTTTCTTTTTTATCTCTCCCACTGCAGCATCTTTGGAAAGAATAAGTGTCAC